GGCCGTCCAGCCAGTTTTTAATCCAGTGTAGAGTACACCCATCCAAGCTGTGTGCAGCCAGCTTCTCCAGGAGAATGCTGTGGGAGACAGTGTCAAAGGCCTTACTAAAGTCCAAGTAGACAACATCCACAGCCTTCCCCTCATCCACTAAGTGGGTCACCTTGTCATAGAAGGAGACCAGACTAGTGAAACAGGATCTCCCTGTTCTACATTCTACATGAATGTAGAATAACATATTGGTAAATCAAGGATAGCTGAATAAGGGATTAAAAAACCCCAGACCCCTACAGTGCAGCTTTTGGTACAGAAATATAAAGCCAATCCAGCATTCCTAAAAACGTTTCCAGAGAGCTCAGGTTCTTCAGAATATGTTTGATACGTTGTCACATTTATTATTCAGTCTGTGGTGCCCCACTATGGGTTATTCATGAGATTTTTTTTAAGTGACTCATTAGTTTAGGACCTGAATTAGTCCATTGGTTTTGATAGGTATTTGAGTCAGCATAGCTGAACTTGAGTGGTGCTGTGGCATAATCTATAAGAACTTAAGTTATATGAAACAACAATAATAGGGTATTGCATATTATAGGTATATTAATAAGTAGGGTATTGTGTGATATATTTCTGTAGGGGCTGTCTTATGCCCAGGAAGTACTCTGTTTTGCACTACATGGCAGGCAGTCAGAGCCCTTTCCTACTTACTGTTGCTGTCTAAATTCCTGCCATTTCCCTATCGTGCTGTTGGTGCATCATGGGACTCCTGATAGCAGTAAAGGAGGAGCACGTCCCCACAAAAGGAGTGTTTCTTGTGTTCATAGAGTCCTTTGTCAAGTGTGACAGCTGGAGGAAGCAGTGTTGCTCTGACTTTAGTATCAACTGTATGTCTAAAACCCACTCGAGCAGCCGTAGTATGTGAGGTTGAATGCCATGAAACACTGGCACTCCAAGCATGATGAAAATACAAAGTTGAGCAGTGTTTTTGCACTCTCTATTGGCTCAGCCAGCAGCTGGATGCATCAGGGCAGTGATCCTTGAATGAGGACTGTGCTAGGCTGTTGTTGAAGCAAGGAAAAAAGCTGGGTTCAAATACGCATCACTTTTAGCAAAAACTCTGCTCAAGCCCCACTGGAGAGGAAGGAGGACTACATACTTTTGTCTGTGAGACTTTACTGAAACTGTTGATCAAGCTAGTAGTCCTTCACCCAGATTAAATGAGAAATGTACGGAACATTAAGATGCATTTTGTCTGCTTTTTTATAGGGTTACTATGTCTCTCTGTGATTTGTAGGATATCCACTGCACTTCAAAGCTTTCAAGAGACTGTGGACAACCACATATGTGCTGTACAGTCAGGACAGATCAAAAGCCTTGATGAAAGGGTTATGTTCTGTTCTGTATAGCACATGCAGAATAGTATTGCCGCTGTCATCATAAATTGGCAGCTGTGCATCTGTAACTGTGGGCCAGTACAAACATACCTGGGCAAGATCTATGAACAGAAAACGAGCATGTCCAGAAAGAAAAGATTTCCCTCCCTCCTCTGAATCATGAGGATGACTAATGACTGAACCAAATACAGGACTGAGGTATCTAGTTCAAAATCGAGATGCTTTAGTAGAGAAATTCAAGAATCTAGCATATATCGCCAGCACTGATAGATGCCTCCATAGGAAACATGTTCAGAGACCTGAGATCACAAAGAAATAGAAATAGGGCAGGTCCCATGATGAACTGCCTCCCTCTGCTTGCATAGTTTGCCCTGTTGGCCAACAGCAAGAGGAAAGTGCAGGAGAAAGAGAGGTGTTGCAGCTTGCTCAGGCCAGAGATACGGTGTCCATAAATAAAAAAAAATGGAGAGCAAAGCCTAAGCTCTCAAAACCAGATGTGTGCCTGTTAACTCTGTATATTTATTGCAATTTGGTGTATCTGAGTGGGACGGGCAAGAAAGAAGTTGTAGTTCAAATCTAGGCAGAGGAGGTGCAAAGCCTTACAGAGTGGGTGACTCTGAAGAAAACTTCTGAAATGGTTGCCAGTGAATGAAACCAGGAACCTGGCTCACACCATTTCATTCTTTCTGTATAGAAGAAGCCAGACTTTGATGCTTCTTCTGTACAAAGTTGGGTGACACTATGAAGAGAACCACAGAACCGGAGAATAACGTAGTTAAAAGGGGATCTCTGGAGGATATTGGCCCAAATCCCCCACTCAAAGCAAAGCCAACTTTAGGAGCTTTGTGCAGTTGAGTTCTGAAGATATCCAAAGTTGGAGATTGCATGACTTGTTCCCATGACTGCCCTCATGGTGAAACGTATTTCTTAATACCTGTACTATTTCCCTTGTTGCTACTTTTAGCTGTCACCTTCTTCCTTTCCCTGTGCATTTCCAAGAAAAGTCTGGCTCCGTCTGCCCATTGTCCTCCATTATGTAGTTGTAGACAGCAGTAAGGTCTGCCCTGAGCCTTATCTTCTTAAGGCTGAGCAAATCCAGTTCCCTCCACCTCACATGTCATGTGCTCCATCCCCTGACCATCTTGGTGGCCTCTGCTGGACCCACTCCAGTGTGTCAAGATCTGTCTTGTACTGGGGAGCCCAAAACTGGACACCGCTCCAGATGCGGTCTGACAAGTGCTGAATAGAGGGGAACATTCTCCTCCCTCGACCTGCTGTTGCCCTTTGCTGCAAGGGCACCCTGCAGACCGATGTCAAATTTCTTGTCCACCAGGATGCCCCAAGTCCTCTTCTGCAAAACTGCTTTCCAGCCAGCTGTCGCCAGCCTTTACTTGTGCACAGGATTGTTCCATCCCAGATGCTGAACTATGCATTTGCTTTTGCTGAACTTCATGAGGTTTTTGTCCAACCATTTCTTCAGCCCATCTAGGTCCCTCTGAATAGCAGCTTTGCCTGCCAGCATATTGACCACTCCCCCAAATTGCTATCATCTGTATTCCCAGTCTGATGTTTTTTTCTTTCCAGTTGGAAGCATCTGCAAGACTGAATTGCCAGTTAGATACTGGGATCAGAGAGGGTGATGCATCTCTTCTACAACCACTGAACCCTGTTTCAAAGTGAAAACGTTCTTGAGGGAGAAAAGTACTCAGTATCAATTTAGAAAAATACAGCAATGATAGACTGACAATATACTTATAGAAATAATTAAAAAATGGGGCAATGACACATTTTCCTCAGTTTTCCTACATTCCAGCACAAACACTTGATGTGTAGAGTCCCTTTGACACTTTTCTTCCCCCTGCCTTTCTGCTGTAGTGCACCTTTGTCACAGAATAGCTTCTTAGGTTATACATTTCATATATTTTTTGTTCAAGAAGCTGGAGATGTTGGGAGGAGACTTTAAAGTATATGAATTTTCCAATGTGAAAGTTTTACTGGTTTTAGACCAGTATAGTTGCCTTTTACTGACAAAAGTAAAAGTTGAAAAGCTTGAAAAGTTTTTCACAAACTGCAACAGCTATTTATTTTATCCTTTTTGCCTGAGGATTAGGCTGGAGCTAATAAGTCTTTTGGATCATGTTACACATTTTTGAGTGCTCAGTTTTCAGATGAACAACAGTGTGTGAACAAGTCATTTTAATCTTCTGACCATATAGATCCTGAGCAACCTTGTGATGGAGGAACTCCTGCCTAACCTTCAGACAATGATACTGCCTAAAATGAAAGGAAAGAAGAATGATAGGAAGCGGGCCTGGTTTGGTGTAAGTACTGATATTTGCAGAGTAGTTGTTTCTCATAGCAGTTGTCTGTGTATGCTGATTCTGATCTATGCTTATTAATTTAATTTGGGTTTAGATCGTAGAAGAAACTTACGGCTTAGTCCAGCAGCAGGTGTCAGAAGGATTAAGTACCTTGAAAGAAGAATGCAGAGATTTTGCAAAAACTCTTGAAGGAACCATTCGCTCAGACATGGATCAGATTCTGAACTGCAAGAACTTCTTAGCTGGAAAAATCAAAGGTTAGTGGAGGAACAGCTGTGTTTTGGAGCAATTTTTTAATGTCTCCCATTGTGTTGCTCAAATTAGCAGATGTCATTGTTTTGAAATCCTCATGTGTTTTGCAAAATCCAACTGGAGACACTGATTTTCAGAAAACAAATGCTTTGAACCTCTGCTGCCTTTGATGGGAACTGATACCTGTGGCCACTGTGTCTGTGAAAATAGCAGGTCTCCTCAAGCTGGAGCTAGAGCTGACAGGTTTTGAGTATCCTGATTAGAGTTGCTCATTCTGCTTTCATTTCCACTTGGACAGCCTTATGTAATGAAGATACAGGTCACATGAGCGTAATTAAAAGTGTAGTGGTTTTGACCTGACATCTAGCAATGCACCACAAAAACAGGTTCTGGTTATGTGACAAATTCATAGGCTACCAAAGAATACTTAATCCAAAGGGCTTCTTAGGTGGTTTTAAACTAATGTGAAGTAATTATAATTTTGCTATGAATATAAAAATGAGTGTAAAATGCAGGGAAAACATTAGTTTATGTTGCTTAAGCTAGCAAATAAAAAATAGCTGATAATTTAGGAGCTGTTTTGATAAAATTCAGGATGTTCTGTTGATATTCTCACATATCAGACTAGGATGCTTTCAGTGAACTGGAGTACCAAGTTCGGATAACTCCTTATACAGTCACTGTGGACACGCTCTGTGCAAACCTCCCAGTGTGTATCAATACTGACAGCTGCCCTTTCCTCTGCTCTCACAGTGCCCCTGAGCTGCTAGCGTTTGGTTAGGTGGGGCATGGGAAAAGATGTTTCATTGTCACTCATAAAACTATAAACTCTCCTTTCATCACCCTCATCATCTTGGCAGAGGTGTCACTCCAGGGAAAAATACGGAGTCGTTTAATTCATTGTAAAGTAGATCAGTATATCTCTTAGTAGCCTAAATGCAACCGTTGTATTGTCTGGCACTCCAGCCGCTGTTTCTGAGCCTGCCCAGAAGTGCTGCACAGAAAATATCCAGCCATTTCTCGCATCCATATTGGAGGAGCTCATGGGTCCAGTGAGTTCTGGATTCACTGAAGTCCGCTCACTTTTTGATAAAGAAGTTAATGAAATCATCCAGGACTTCCAGAAGACAAATGACATCACGAAGCTAAAGGAGGTAAGACAAAAATATATCTGGAGCCTTTTACGTTAACACAAGGACAAGCAGTGTTTGCTTTCCCAGGTGGTAGTATGTTAGCACTTGGTTTTGTCATTTAGAAAGCCTTGTGGTATTTGTGCAACTAGAGTGTAAATATCAGAATTTGTTTTAGGGCCACTGTTACATGCTCTATTAAAAATTCGCCTCTGGTTGCTTTCTCTCAAAACCTGTTCTTCCTCCACTGGAACGCAGAATGTGGATCAGCTTATGAACCTACCATTCAACTCTGTGAAAATGGAGCCTTGCTATCTGAAAGTGAACCTCCTCCAGGAGCTCCTTCAAGACCTCAAGAGTCGCTTCAGGGTCTATCACATTGATTTTGTGATTCAGAGGACACAGAACTTCATGCAAGAGGTACTGTAAGATCCAGTTTTTCCTCCTGGGAGAACAGGTTAGGTTTGTCCTTCTAATCTGCTTCAAAGTAATCTTGATAAAAAGCTGCGCAAGTGTCCCAGAATATATCTCAATCAAAGTACACGTAACAAAACCTAAGAAAATCACAGCTAGAAGCTGTTTCACATTTATATTTGTGAGGCTGCATGCGTGTGAGTCTTTCAGTATGGCACAACAATTTTGGATGGATCACTTCTTCCCCTGAACCTTGATGTTCTGAATTCTCAGTGTCTCAGCACCTGAGAAAGCTGTGCTTGTACCAACAGGGTGGCTAAAATCTACCTGATTTCCATTCTCAAGGGTTGATTTTTCAGGAAGGATCTTAAATATATTTTACCAAAATGGACCGTCTCCTCCTTGGTAGCTTATTTTCTCATTAATATAAAGTAAGGCAATTAATGTTAGAAACTGGCAATTACTTGGACACAGATGACATCTCAGGATGTAGCTGCATGTAGGTGCTTTAACCAACTTCGCTTCTCATGGGAATGACTGAAACAACTACATCATTTCAGATGAAAAAGAAACTCCACCTCATTTTCCTCTCTAGTGTGTATTGGTATAGGCTATAATTTTGCTTTGCTTTTATTTCTTCTGGATGCTTGGCCAGAAATCTATAAGGAGCTGGCCAGCAGACTTCTTTTGATTGCCAGGTCACAAGGCAGATTTGACCTTGTAGCTCTATGTTGAATCCTGTGATTTTAATCTGTAGTTGAGAAACTATTAAATAATCTAGTTGGTAATCTTGTCAAATGGAGCTGGTCCAGTTCTGTGGAGTGGGAGTTACGAATGCAGAAAGCAAGTCTCTAGCACAGTGCTGGGATAGGGTTTTCCTAAAAGCAGCTCTTCTAAGTACAGCCGTGATCAGCAGCTGAAGAATTATTCAGAAATAAAATTCTGATTTCATGTCTGGGTCTTTCAGGGTGGACCAGTCCAAAATGCTGCCAAATAGAATGTCTTTCAGTAAGTATAGACCATGAGTGAAGACAAAGAAGTAGACAGAAAATATATCCCATACAAACCAAGTGTTGGTTTTTTTTTCTGAACAGAACATGAGTCAAAATTCACAATAAAAAAGTTAAATTAAAGCACAAGTTGTTCTAAAAATGCTGTTGCCGCTTCTCTCTCTTTAAAAGGCCGGTATCTAAAAATGCTGTTATTGCTTCTCTCTCTTTAAAAGGCTGGTATTTTTCTCATATAGTAAGTAGTTTCACTCTTTGTCCATGGACATTTAATTTATTAACGAGTAAGGTCAGACATGTCTGTGCTCGTGTAGTCTTAATGTAAAAAAAGCGTTTTGCTTAACTCTGGTGGAGGCTGGAGCAGGATTCTTTGGCTTGGGAGCTTGGCATCCTCTAGTGGCCAATTTTAGGAAATTTTGGAGCACAATGCTCAACTGGACTAAATAAAGCAGCTTTAGTGACTTCACCTGAACTATACCAATTCATGATTTGCTTCAAATAAAAATTTAAATAAAAAGTGAGCAGTTCATCTTTTAATTAGCCTCAGACTTAACTCTACACTGATCCTGTCTTTTTCTTGTATCCAAGGTCTTGCAGTGCATGAGCCTTTACTGTACCGCCTTCTGATGCACACACAAATTGAGTAAACCTCCATCTTCTCCATTTCCATTTATAAATACAGTCTGTATAGTCCAATCCTACATTATCTGCAAAGTCAGTTATAAAAATCAGCCTTCAGCATTTGTCACTGCATATTTTCATTCATGAAAATATTACTAGCCAAGGAGGAATTAAAAGCATAAGTATGTACATATTCATTTACAAACTACAAGAAGTCCTCTATAGTATATGGCTGTCTATGTTATATCAACTGGGATGGTCCCACATGATGCAAAGACAGACCCAGTGGTATGGACAGCCTCCCTGGGGATGTCCCTGTACTTCTCCAGTAAGAATATAGTGAAATTTGAATGGAAACACTTAGCTAAAAAAGGCAAAACCTCATTAAGTAGACATAACTGCTTGCAGAACTGTTTTTCTGAAATATCTTTTCAGAGTAGGGGGTTTAATATTTTTAATGAATCTCTGGATAACCTGAAAATATGGCAACTGCCAGCCTAACATAGTTCTGTGAGAAATTACTGCACTCTGTGCGATTTTTGCTGGTAATTATTTGTATTATAGGGAAAGCTACCAGTTAATTAATTTTAGAAAAAATTATCTGCAGTATTAATGATTAAGACCATTAGAATCTGGTAGGAGTCAATGGGAGTCCTCTTATTAGGGATGAGTTTTGTTTATGGCCTTTATATATAGATGATCAATTGTACTTTTTGTCTTTGTCACCATCAGTTTGGATGGTAACATGAAATTAAATCTGTACAAGAAAGCTGTGATAGCATAATAATGATACCAAGGCTTACTTTTCTTTATTTATTGCAACATTTCTGTGCACGTTAGCCTTCAGAGAACTGAAATACAGCAGAAAATTTTTGGACAATATAAATGAATCTACTCTGAGTAAGTTTGCTGATATAACTGTTTAGTTACATTAGCAGACTTCCTAGTATTGACCTGCCTGTAAACTCAAGATAGAAGTTGAGGTAGTTTCATTTTCTTATTCTCTTGCATTTGATCATCTTCTATTTGGTTTCTGATTCCAAAACTGAGTGTTGCAATCTAAACTAAATAAGGCTTTTCTTCCCCTTCCATAATCATTTAAAGTACTTGAAATATTTATTGATTTTAGGCTCATTATTCTTTCTCTATTTCTCCTTCTCAAAAATACAATTTAAGTTAACACATTTATCATGCTTCATGTATGTAGGAATTTTATGTTACTGGTCTTTAACAGATTTTTTAATTATTATTTTTAGCTAATGGAAAATGCAGTTTATACTTTTGAGCAGTTGTTCTCCCCAAGTCACCAGGCAGACTCGGCAAAAGTTGCAACAACCATTGAAAAAGTCAAGTTGAGAGTACTGAAGGTAAATGTGATGTTGCATTTGCACAGGAAGACCTTGGGTTCTGCCTTTTTGGAAACTGAGAATATATTTTATGATAATTTATCTCAGTATTTGAAAGAAGGTATCTCTTACCATCCAGCTGGAAATACTGATTTGGTGGCACTTAGCACACCTGATCTTTTTGGGGGGTAAAACCTAATTCTGGGCAGACACTTGTAAAAGTATTTTCATGTGCAGTCCTTTTAACTGCAATTAAATCAGCTGGAGATGATGCTGTGGATCTGGGTAAATAATTTTTTATTATCTTTATAATTAGTCTGCCCCTTTAATTCGTTCCTCTTGGATGAGGCAGTGCTGAAATATCTGGAGAGAGCAACCAGGGGGCTGTTTCTAGCCTAGGTAAAAAAAACAACAAAAAAAAAAAGAAAGGGGAAACAG